GAACAAAGAACGCAGGAAAATCCCGTAACAAATGTCAAAGAAAGTGATGGTATTGAAATCCTCGCCGAGGATTGCAACATGACGTTTAAGATGTCTAATAACGTAACCCCATCACTCATAACAGTATGCAAAGTTTGAATTCTTATGTTTCATCCTATCATGACAGCTCACTCCAATCCTTCACTCAGTACAGAGGATTAGAAAGACAGAGGCACGTGATTAGGCATGAAGTAGTCGTATAAAAAGCACCGAACTGTCGTATGAGCAACGACGAGTGGCTGTAGAACTCTGTGGCACGATGAACCCCACACTTAATCCCAAGAAAGTGGCTACTTAGAAGCATGAACAGATCATCGCGAACATTTTGTAGAATGACCCCACAGAATATAGAACAAGAGTGGAATTCAAGAGGACCCGCTCTTGGGATCCCTAAAAGCACCGTGATAGAGGTAAAAGCAAGTAGCAAAATAAAATATTCGAGGCTGCTTTGGGCATCGAGATTGCATTTAGCCCAAATAAGAATACCCAAGCGCTCATTTCGCGAACCACTGAGCACACTTCTTAATAGTTGTTACTCAGAGCAATGTTCTAAATGAATAGAAATCAGTATATATACCAGAAACGATGCTCACAGAACAGGCTGTCTGAATGTCCAAAGTGACCAGCCGATTAGAGTCTGAGTCCGGACTGGGTTTGGAAAAACAACTGGCCTACCGTAGGTGTCTGTGAATCACAGAATGCTGGACACGCCGAATAGTCACATACGAAGTGTAACGAGGGCAAAGCATAGCTCAGTACATTCGTAAGATGTATTTGTGAGGATGTTCATCAAGGAATACCGCTACAAGGGGGTTTTATTTACATTAATCAATATGAGGCCAGCGTCCTCGTTTCTGTCGAAACATCAAACGGACCTAGTCTAGTTATCAAACTGTTATCGAGCAGCCCACTGCCGAGCGTCATCGATCGCGTGACTACTGTAGCTACGCCGCTGTAATAACGCTTGCGACTGGCACCGCTACCTAGTTGGAGAAAGTGATTCGGCTCCTGCAGAATATGCCTCGCGCGGTGTAGTAGCTGGTCGAACTCAGGTTGATACATGTCGTAAGACTGCAGCCCAACGCCTCTACTGTGCTATATCATGGCAATACGAACCCCGCACGACTACCAGTGACTGAGTGCGGGCACCAGCGAAAGCCCCTCTACAAGCATTAGCAAAAGAACGCGGTCAGTGCATCGTCGTATTTATAGCGCAATTGGCCTCGTTATTGAAAGGTGAAGCAACTGCCATCCCATGATGGTAACACCGAGAAGATCACGTAGTTGATAACGCAGTAACAATGTAGATGGGGGAGAACGGAGGTAATTTCCATCCCATAATGCCACCGATGACGCGATGCGTAATCGTCTAGGGGCAACAAGACGGTGGAAATGGAGGTCGGGAAAATGTATCCAAGGTGAAGTCTTTGGGGAGCCATGAAGTCTCCAAGACACCTGTTGCCGACTTGTCGGTGCAGTTAACAATGGCTGCCCTCCAAGTTCTCCAAATGCCTCACTCTCACTGATTGAGCAGCTCGAGCATTGTTGGAAAAATAACGAATTGCCGCTTTTTACCAGAGGATGAACAATGTTGGCGCACAAACTATGATTGTGCCATTCACCGAAAGAGAGAACACTGGATTTTATTCCACTTGTTCAACTACACCAGTTATAGTACCAGTCCTACTCATTCGGGTTGGTTTCAATTCAGTGCATTCCGGTGAACACAGCGTTTTAAACTTTGCTCTCGGACATTCATGAATCAATCAATCAACAACAGCAGTACATCAGCCATTTGAACTGATGCCTCGCTAGCATACAACCATGATGACCTATGGAATAAAGAATAAGAGGGAGAGAAGGCGGACTTACCTGAAAACCTTAATGCCCTAAGCAAACATTCAGGGTCAAAACGCCTACACCCTGTGTAGACAACATATCGTCACAAACAGCTGGCTATCGTGCCAAGGCGGCATCGGCGAGACAGCTTCCTTTCGGCTTTCACTGCCACACGTCATAATCAGCCATTACCTCGCAGATAACTCAGCACCAAACACACTTTAAACAGGCAATCCGACTAGGAGACGGCAACAGATACGCCACTGGTGTAGTCTAAGAGCCATGTCCGTGAAGTCTCGAGCTAAGCACAAGGTGGGTCAAGTGGACTGCAGCCCGGAAGGCGACATGAAGCAACACCGCTCAGTTTGGTCATCAGTGACTTCATTTCCCGCTGTCAAGTCAACTTCCATTCACCGCGAGCCTTGTGTCACCCTACACCTGGCAGACTAAACAAGGACCTCTTAGGTAAGCGGTGACCAGACATACGTAGCACGTGCCCAAGCCAACGCAACTTATTCAGTGCTATCTGTTGTTTTAGGGAGCTAGCATGATTATCATAACCCAGTACTCGCCTACGCACATCATCGTTGCGGACACGCTGGTGCCATCCGACACCAGCAATGCTTCGCAGACAACGATGATCAAAGGCTCGAAGGCGCCTCAGATCTTCAGACCGAAGAGTCCAAGTCTCACTACCATAGAACAAAACGGCCCTCACTGTGGTCTTGTATACACGGCTTTTCAGACGGTTGGAAACCCTTCTGTCGCCAAAGATGCCGCAAGTTCAAGAAGGCATCTCTGACCTTTGCAATGCGTGAGCTGACATCAGTTTCTATGCGCCCATCGTTGCTGATGCAGCTGCCAAGATAAGTGAATGGGTCAACCACCTCGAGTTCCTCGTTAGCAAGGGGTCAGAATGTGGCTAGTGGTCCTACAGCAACACTTTGCACTTTGAAGGTGCGAAATGCATACCAAATAATGGGACCACCCTAGACACGCTATTCAGGGTTGACTGTGCCGCCGCAATATCGTCGAAAAGCAGGACTATATCGTTCGCATAATCAAGATAAACTAAAGTTGCACCAGGCAGCGCTTCAACGCCTGCATTGTGGGGTTCCGTAAGTGAACACTCCGTGATAGAATCCACGACGAAATTGAACAAAAACGGGGAAATCGGACAACCCTGAAGAACGCCACTTGTGGTCGGAAAGCTATCTGACACGTCACTGTAGACACTGAGGCGGCCTGCAGTGCTCGAGTACAGGGCACGTAAGTTGTTCACATATTTCATGGGAAGACCTTTCCGCGCAAGTATTTCGAACAGAATCGATCGATCGACTGAATCGAATACACTCTTGAAATCGAGGAACACAGTTATTGTCGGTCTGCGTGGCGCTGCGCTAGCACTTACTGCAGAGTGAATATATGATCCATACAGCCACGTCCTGGGCGAAAACCGGCCTGCTCTTCCCTAACCCGAGATTCCCGTTCCAAAGTGATGCGACGAACGAGAATCGAGGCCAGGTATTTTGTCACAACTGGCGTTAGGTTATTACCTCTGTGGTTAGAATAGTCTGTGCGACTAGCTTTCTTGTATATTGCCACTATAATCGATTCGCTCCAATTCGCCGGCACACTCTTCCAGATACGTTCGAATAAGGAAGTCAGTGTATTACAGAGAACCTTACCTCCATCTTTAAATGGTGCAGGTGGGAGGGATTCCGGGCCAGCGGCACGAAAGCGATTGAGGACTGTGATCGCGTTTCGGACCTCTGCCTCCGACGGAGCCCCTAAACTAACCGTCCATGGCACGCCCTGCATCACCTGAGTAGGAAGAAGTCCGGGAACAGGGGGCCAGCTGAACTGAACTTGAAAGTGTTCCGCCTAACGAGCCATACAGCGCTCCATATTTTGTATCAGTGCACCCGCGCTGTCTCTGATTGTCTCACTGACGCGGTTTCCTGGGACCAGCTAGAAGAGCTTGCGGTAATTGCCTACTGCTCGTGCCTCCTCCATTTCTTGAGACTTACTGGTCCACCAGGCTTCCTTGTCAGCTCCGCCTTAGTTCGCGTCTAATAGCCCGTCTGGTCACATTGTGCTCAGAGCTTGCCGGGAGGTTTCTTCTGGATCCCAACAGGTTCGCCGACCTCTCGCAGATCCAGTGACTAGTGTTAGTGCCACAAACAGATACCCCTGCGTCGTACATGGCGGCCGAGATCCTATTCCACTGAAGCTCAGTGTCATTAGGACAAGACAGCGAAAGTTCGGTACGCAGTGCGTCCTGATAGGCTTGCCTGACCGAGGGCTGAGACAATTTCTCAGTTGCCAATCAGAGACACTTGATGCGCCTCCCAGTAAACTTCATGGTGAAACGACAGCGTACTATGCATGATCAGAGTCGACGCAGGTACATGGGTGAATCAACAAAGGGAGACGCTGCCCTACATGTTGGCTTTAGTGATGCACTGGAAGATGTTCCGTAAGAGACCGGAAACGTCTTATGGTAACTTAATGGTGATGAAACATCTGTATGGCAAAGTTTTCGGCGCAACTAAGGGCGTGGCCGGAATCTGTTCGGTGTTTGCTGTAGGTATTAATTCATCTGAGCTTATTCGGCAAGAAACAGAAGACCTTACCGTACTCACCTAGGGTAAAGTTGGATGGAAGCCGGCAATCGTGACATCGTACAAAAAGTGAGATCAAAAGGCCGATAGTCGAGGCAGATGTGAGATAGGATAATTAAGCTTCAGCGGATCTGTGGCCTCCAATCCAGTACCTAGCATCAGTGTTCAATCCCACTTATAAACTTGAACTTACATGGTACAAGAAAATATCGACGAGATGACGGGCAAAAGTGAGGAACGTTGGGACGAACAGATACTACAAATAAATGTCATAGACAGACTTGGTCAGTTGGCTAATGAGTATGCGAAGAGATTATGAGCGGTAGTTTCGCTTAATTGCCTTTCATCAGATACGAGTGCTTCTCACAAGTCAACAGTTCTCCTCTTTCAAGCGGTACGCTACGCCACTGAACTACATGGATGGTGGCGACTGATGTGACTAAGTTAGTGATAATGACAGAGTGCAGCCCATCCTCCTCTGACACGTGTACTACTGTCAAATAAAAATAATGGTAACCATAGATGCAGGATTTTCATCACCAGACAAGTAACAATCTGTTATCTCACCATAGGCACCGAGTGGACGGTTAGGAATGCAATTCGCCCGAACAGCCCTGGGTACGCGACTGTGTTCAGACAGTTAGCAATCACAGACGAAATCAGGTGATGCTAAACGAAGACTATATAATTGCATGAGACCAATCTAGATTGCGTAAGCAGAAAGGATGGAATTCATATGTAATGTCCATAAAGAGGACATATGTTGCCGAATAGTGAAAAGGCGAAGTAACTTGACATACAAAATGAGATATGCTGAAAGCGGTGATTTCGAAAATTTGTAGTACTGATCCATACAGAGTGGACGCGCCTAACGAGTGTGTTCCAGGAGTGAGGCACCCGAGGTGGAGCACCGGAGCAAATCGGATGGAAGGATGCGATAAAGTTCCTCACGACAAATGGCGCGAAAGAGGTCCAGCAGCCCAACACTGTTGATTCCAGTGGGGATTGATTCGTCGTTCGAAAAGTTGATATCAGCAGGAAGTGATGGTGAACCGTTCAATCTGTGTATTAGTGCCAACAGTTCTAGATAACAAAGCCGACGCAAGAGTGAGTTCAATTCGCACAAATCGGTATCGGAGGAAGAGAGAGAAGCGTGTGATGAATTTGGTGCTTCCGAGTTAATCAGTTGTCCATTACTCTGAATACTTGAAACATCAACAGACTCAGAGCACTTTCCAGTGGTATGAGAACGGGTCGGGTTTTGAGGCTCACTTTCGGGCCGGGCCACGGAAGATTGGGTCAAACTTGGTTGTTGGACAGCTGGGGCTGCAGGAGTAGGTGGCATGACAATACTACCGTTGTTCAGGTCAGTCAGATTACTTTTTTCATTTAACTTGGCAACAGTCTTTTGGTGTTTCTTCCCAACTAGATGTGCCTCCATAGCGGCTGCACAAGGTAAGGGAACTTGACATTGTTCACAATACAAACGAGACATGGGGGTGAATGCTGGTGTGCTTTTGGAAGGCGGTCCTCTCTTTGTATTTGTGACGGCATTATATCGGTTAGCGGCCGAGGAAACCTTTTGCCGATGCGAAGGGGATCTGGAATGTTCATAAAGCTCATAATTAGAACGGAATTGTAAATCGCATAAGGCACAAGCTAGTCCTTTATCAGACGAGCAGGCCTGATCCTCCATCTTTAGTGCAATATGCGGTTCGTGCACAGCTTCTTCCCGAGAATTTAAAGCTATCGAGGATCCTGTAGAGCCCTTTGGGCTATTTTGAGGAGCAAGTTTGTCACATACTGATTTGCAGTCGAAACTGTATATGTGATCCAAAAAGTCCCCATCTTTATCAAACTTGGCGTCGCAATGGAAACACTGACGGAGTACATTTTGTACCTCAGTCATGTTCACAAAGCTGATAAAATAGAAAAAGAAAGGTGTGAGGGGACAAATTGTAGAAAAATGTCAAGATAATAGCAACCTACACATGTTTTCCCGTTATAAAGTCATAGATAAAGAGACAACCACTCCCCCAAAAACCAAGGGAGTATAATGTAATTCATAAAATAAAAGCAAATAAGGCTATACCCAGCACCCGGTAAACAACACACTAATGCAAATGGCCGGCGACCGTGCGAAGATGTGGCATTAACGAGACAGCTTCCTTGAGGCGTAGATGGCCACATAAAAGAGTAGGATAGTGTGTATGGGCAGTATAAAGTGATAAAACGATCCGTGGCCACAAGGGTGGTAACCCTGCGTAGGGTTGGGCGTCCTCGCGGTATACTCAGCCCGCGCGCGACTGGTGGTGGTCGCGCGGCAGCGAAGCGCCGTTACGGCGTATAAGCTGACACATTTCATTTCATTTCAATCCTGCCTTGTAATGCGAGGGCGCGGGTTCGAGCCTGCGTAGGGACCAGGCGATCCTCGCAGTATCCTTAGCCAGCGTGCGACTGGTGCTTGTTGCGCCGCAGCGAAGCGTCAGTACTGCGTACCGCCGTACTGCGGATGCCTTTGCCTGCCTCGGGCAAAGCAGCCATAACTGGAATCCATTCTGTGATCTCATGAAAGTAGGGATGACGTGAGCCTAAAAGATGTTGTGAGCGAAAGTAACTAAATGTTACATGACGCAGATCAGGTCAGCCGATCGAACGTGGTTCATACACAGTGGATGCAGCTGAAGAAGTGCGAGTCACCAAAAAACAAAACTAAAAAGGAAAGAGAGAATGATCTACCTACAAGGGATAGGCAAATAAGCAGATACGGGAGATAGATGGAGGCAAGGAAGCGAATGCAGAAGCGTCACTGTGTTACCGAGTGCGTTACAACGAACAAGATATCGGACAACTAAAAAGACAGTTCACGATGTCCAAGAAAGAGTGCAAGCACAAACACGACACCGTGAGTCTGAAATATGAAGGCGCATTGCATTCGCCCCGTTCATTTAATTGCTCCGGGCAATGCCGGACCGTCCCGAGATTCGACATAACCTTGTAAAGAAATGGAAATCCATCCTGACATAAGCAGACAAATTACTCGAGAAAGTGACTCAGCCGACGCACAAACATCAAGTTCAAAATCACAGAATTTAACAGCAAGTGTAAAGAAAAAACCAACGGAACTCCAAAATCTACGAAGTACCATACAGATATCAGTAATAAAAATGAACAAATCCTTAACCTCTTCAACAGTCACTGGCCATAGCTCAGGTCCAGGCAGCAGCACAGTGGATGCAATTCAAAAATATCATTCTCTGTGCCAGCACTGATAGCTGCGGAGATACCCATCACCCGCCGTCTCCTTTACGCTGATGCACAGACGCCGCTCGGTCCCGGCCGATTCTAGCTGTAGTGAAAAGCGATGAGTATGGTGCAGGAATCTTCAAAAGGACCTTGAAAGCTAGCGGTGTGAACTTGCTAGAGTGATGGAACTCGCTAGCTTTTCTGGTAATACCAGAAATTTTTTCCATATTATCCGAGCCACCAAGCAATCTAAGAAGAGGATGGCCCACTAATCACTACGATTGGAAGGATGGGTTGAACACTTTGACTCGTAATTTTGCTGCCCACCAGCTTCCATAGGTGCGCTCACTGGTGCTGTATTGCCTGTCCCCACATATCCTCCCTCTCACCAGGAAATCGGTCTCTTGTAGTGCTATAAAGCACCGGGCCTGATGGCTTGCCTTCCACTATATTTAAAAATGGCGGCTATCCACCGGTTCGAGAACTTATTGGTTTGGTTTCAGAAGTCTGGCTGAAAGGAGGCTCCATCACCTTGGAGTGAGTCGACAGTCGTTCCCATCTTCAAAATGGGCCTGCGCATAATGTGATCCAATTACAGGGGTATCAGCTTGGTTCCCGTCGTTTTTAAGATTCTGGTGTCCATCATACTTCGTAGGCTATCTCCAATGCGCGAATCGCTACAGTGGGAAGAACAGGATAGGTTCCGCCCTGGCCGCGGCTGCATAGATCAAATCTTCACACACCGCAATGTGTACTAAAAACCAACGATTGTTATGTTCCTGGATATCCGCGCTGCCTTCGATTCTGTCGACAAGTCTGCACTATGGCACTGTTTGTTGAGTAATGGCGTTCCGCAGTGCGTGCTTTGCATAGTCTGAACTCGGGTAGAGTTAGGGCCTATGGCAAGCTTTCGCCTTCCTGTGTTGTCACCAGTGGAGTTCGACAAGGATGCTCTGTCTCCCAATTCCTTTCCAATACCCTGGAAAATTCCTTGGGCGCGGGCGTTGAGCTCCTCCCAGGTAGCCGAGTTGTAGATTTGGACTACACTGTGTAAGCTTCAAAAATCGCTTAGGATAGTTGGACAACGCGTAGGGCACCGATTCGCGGCCTCCGACAGGGGATCAATGCGCGACAAGGATCGGAGTTGGTGTAGGCACCGGAGAAACAAAAAAGCCACAGTCGATGCTGAACTACGGTGCTATTATACAAAGAGGAAAAGATCAAAGTGACAACATACTTCAACAATGTCCTCAAACAAAGACAAGTACAATCAGTTGGCCGTTACAAGAACAGGACATCAATACGGTCGTCCAGTCAGCAAAATGACCCAGCGCGGTTACATGACATGCGAGACATGCACCAGTGAGCCAATCAAGAAACCAACAGCCACTAGTCCAATCACATCAAGCAGGTTCAATGGGGGACACATTATGAAGACCTGAGGTTAGGGGCACATGTCAGCCGGATGGGTGGTGTGTCCACCCCACAAAATCTCCGGTCTACCCTGACCACAATAGTAACACGCAAATGGAACAAGTGCGAAGCAGTGATCGATAAAGTGGAGCATGCATCAAAGAAAGTAGCGAGACAGGTGGTGTCACCAATGTAAGGTGGGCATGGAAAACAAACGACTAAGGGTCATGCAGGGCGGTATACGTGGAACGTTCAAACAGAGTGAATTCAAGGGGAATTAGGGCAATAATGTGGGTCCATCATCATCATCATCAACAGCAGTACATAAGCCATTTGAACTGATGCTTCGCTGCCATACAACCATGAAGACCTTTGAAATAAAGAATAAGAAGGGGGAGAGAAGGGGGACTTACCTGAAAACCTTAATGCCCTAAGCAAACATTCAGGGTCAAGGCGCCTACACCTTGTGTAGACAACATATCGTCACAAACAGCTGGCTATCGTGCAAAGATAAGGCGGCATCGGCGAGACAGCTTCCTTGCGGCTTTCACTGCCACGCGTCATAATCAGCCATTACCCCGCAGATAACTCAGCACCAAACACACTTTAAACAGACAATCCGATTAGGAGACGACAGCAGACGCGCCACTGGTGTCGGTTGCGAGCAATGTCCTGCAAAGTCTCGAGCCAAGCACAAGGTGAGTCACGTGGACTCCAACCCGGAAGGCGAGACGGACCAACGGCACCCAGTTTGGTCGTCAGTGACTTCATTTCCCGCTGCCAAGTCAACTTCTGTCCACCTCGAGCCTTGCGCCATCCGACACCTGGGTCCAGGCGAAGGGTGATGGCTGTTGACAAAATGGACGTTACACACTGATGATAGCGTCTTGCTGGGTGACAGTCTACAGGCCGTCCAACTTGCACTCAACCGATTGGCAATTGAGGCGTCAAATTATGGGATGGCTATTTCCCTATCTAAGTGGAAAGCTCTTCTCCAAGACTTTCAGATGTTTGTACCCTGCACTCATTCTTGATAGTGAGACACTGGAGGTGGCGGAGAGCTTTTCCTACCTAGGAAGATGCATCACAACCGGTGAAGCTGTTGGAGACGAGATTTCGATGCTAATCTCAGCAGCTCGTCTCATATTCTTTGAGCCGAGGCACTAGTGGCGCCGCCATGACACCCGTCTATTCATCAAAGGGCGGGATTATTGTGCGACTGTCCGCGCTGTACTGTTGTACGGTTGCGAGAGATTGGCCTGTTTGTACCGTTGACCTGCGCCGTCTCTCTGTCTTTGAGCACCGTTGCTTGCGCTCCATTGCCCGTGTGTGGTGGCTGCACCACGTAACCAATGTGGAAGTTAGACAGCGTGTCTTGGTTGGAGGCAGCAACTCGCTCGAGGTCGTCCCGCAGCTGCGTCAGCTGCGGTGGCTTGGACCCGTATTGCGCATGTCCGCTAGATGACCCTAGTGCATAAGGTGTTCGCGTGGAGTACCGTATTGATGGTTGGTTGCTGAACATCCGTCGTTCCGGTGCGAGAACCCTATTCTGAAACAACTATCCGTATGTTGCTGTTCGCTGACGACTGTGCGTTGTTTGCACACAGCGCGGATGAGTTGCAGCACATGACTAGTGCTCTGGCTTCGACAGCGACCAAATTCGGGCACACCACCAAAACGAGCAAAACTGTGTGTCTCTCACAGCCTTCACTGGTGATACAATCTGCAATGGTGCCGCAAATCAACATTGGTGATGAAGAGCTGGAAACCGCCTCCTCCTTCTACTACCTTAAGATTGTGGTTTCAACTGACCAGCAAATATACAGCGAGCTTCGTATCCTTGTATCGAAGGCAGCGGCGGCATTCGGGAAACTTGAGTACAGAGTGTGGAACAACCATCAGCTTACCGTCGGCACGAAGCTGACGGTGTACAAATCCATGGTGTTATCCGTTCTTTCATACAACAGGGAAACGTAGACGATGTACCGGCGGATGTGCGATATCTCGAGCGATTACACCAACGATGTCTGCGACGGATTATGCGCATCGTTTGGTGCGACAGAGTTGCAGACACGATGTTGCGCCGTAGTGGAGTGCATGCAGTGGACTGCATACTTTTGCTGAGACACCTGAGGTGGCTCGGTCATGCGTGGCGTATGGATTCGACGCGGATTTCGAAACAACTCTTATATGGTCAGCTGAGTGTTGGGAAGCGGCATGTAGGGAAACCGAAGCTTTACTACTAGGACATGATCAATGTG